TCTGCACGTCCGCCCCCATCTTCACAATCTGCACGATCTCCTCGTCCGTCATGGTGGGCGCAGGCATCACCAGCCGGCTCCGGCTTGCCGTCTGCTGGTCGTACTTTTCAAACACCGCAAGCGCCTCTCCGATGTTCTCCTCCTGCAGCCGCTTCAGCTTCCTCGCGTCGTCGTTCCGCATCCGCCTCAGCTCCTCGTCGCGGCGCTTGCCCTCCAGCTGCTGTATGCTGCGCAGCGACTTGTCGATTTCATGCCCGGTCTCCGGCTCGTAGAACCCCTTGGGCGGCTGCGTCTCGAAGGGCACCTCCTTCACGTAGTCCATGATGCTGTTGTGCAGCCTCAGCGCGCCCACGTTGACACCGGCGTTCTTCAGCTCTCTCCGCTTCTGCAGCGAGGCCAGCCGCCTCGTCTGCTCAATCTGCTTTTCCCTCGCCTTCCGCTTCGCCTTTTTCCCGCGGGTGTTCGCCAGCCGCGCCCGGGCCTCGGCCAGCATTTCCTTCTCGTCGTCGTCCATGTCGACCGCGTCCGCGCGCGACGGCTTCGTCTCGGGCGCCGGGTCGATCTCCCCCGGGCGCAGCCTCCGCGGGTCGAGTTCATCGTCCTGCGGCGTCTATCCCCTAACCACTCTGCACTCACCTGGTCTCTTCCCTGCGCCTGGTCCAGCAGCCGCTCGTAGTGCTCCAGGCACTGGTGCGCCGTGCGCCCTATCATGGGCCCTATCGTCCTCCATTGCGTTGGGAACAGCTTCGCCAGGTGCAGCAGCTTCTCCTCCTCCTCTCGCGACCACTCCGTCTTCTTCACGTACGGGTTCAGCCACTCGTACCTGCCACCAATACAACCTCCGGCGTTCGCCAACCCACCATCTGGCCTTGCACTGCTTCGCCGACTTCCTCACGAGCAGCGAGGAGACTCTGGACCAGTTGTTGAGGCCATATTTCATGACCGCGGCCTTGAGGACCTCGTCCTCGCTATTTTTCCACACGCCTCCCTTTAGCTGGATCCTCATTATGCCTGTGTATTTTAGGCTGCAAAATAGCGCCTGGATCCTGGATACGGCCGCCGGCGGCGCGGCAGGCGGTCCCCATCCGGGCGTCGCCTGCCGCGCTCCGTGCTGCCCTGACACCTCAACACATTACACCATGCTCCTACGCAAGTGTTTTAAAGCGCCACTATCGGCCAGTATCCTGTCGGCCAGCCGGCAACTCTCACCGGTATGCCGCCCCGGCCACCGTTGTCTGTCCGGGGCTTCGTCACCTGGGCTGGATTCCACAGACAACCATCTCAAACCCCGTAGCAAAACAGCCCTTCTGGGAGTATCTGCCACGGCAGCTACTGTAGTAGCCGGATACTTGCTCTACGACGCTTTCCACGTCCCGGCGAGCGTCCGCACCGCCCTCACACAGATAAGGTAATTCAATACCTACCAGCTCTGACGGCTACAGAACCAACAAGGCAGTCTCTGACCTGCTCGGCGACGACGTCACCATCCGCAGCGACTGGACAGTTGAGCAGCACGGCGACGAGGCCTTTGTTCGGGTGAATGCCTCTGGCAGCAAAACCGGAGGCATGTTCACGTGCGCTCTGACGCAGAAAGGCGGAGAGTGGAAAGTAACGGCACTCGACGTGATATACCACGAACGTTAGTTTACCAACACTGCGTTTCACCGTGCTCAGCAAGGCAGCCCCCGACCCTCTCCTCGGCGTCCGCCTACGACGCCCTGGACCAGGCGCTACAGCGCAAGTGACTACGCGCGCTGTAGCGCCTGCAGCTGCTCGGCCAAGTACTGCAGCTTGCTCTGAACAGCGTATCGCACCCCAAGCCGGGCCTACCTGCCGTGACCGGTTCTTCCACTCGAAGTAGTTCACGCTGACCATCTTCCACCCGAGCGACTCCACGATCTGGTACTTGAGCCGCGTGATCGCGTTGAACTCCGTCGACTGGTGGTAGAAGTGCGAGTACCCGTTGACCTCGATGGCCACCTGCGTAATATCGTCGTGTCCCCCGTGACAGTCACCTGTAGCTGCGGCAGCACGTAGTCCATCACATAGGGCCCTACGCGCTGCTCGGCCTTGTGCCGCACCTTTAAGTCGTCGAGCAGCCTCGATATCTTGTACTGCATCTTAGAGGTGCTGGGTGCGAACTCCAGGTTCAGCCGGACGATATCGTCCAGCATCGCCTGGTACCGCGGGTCAAACGGCTCCAGCTTGTACCGCAAGTGGTACAAGCTGATGCACAGCTGGTTCACCTCGATGTACACTAGCTCTTTCAGATGCTTGGCCACTCGGTCCAGCAACACTGTAACAATATCGGTGAGCTCCTCTCCGTCTATGCCGCATAACAATGCAAATTGCCCAACTCACATTTTTCATTTTGAAAAGCAACGACGAGAGAAAACAAGACGTTGCACATCTCCTGAGGCCCAAACGTGTATATGCACCCCGGAAGTCGGGAATAGACCAGTTTGTCGAACAGCCCGTTCCGGTGCTGCAGCAACGCCAGTGACCGTATCACCATAGCCACCAACACCTTGTCCTAGACACCGTTACGCCAGCGCCATCTCGCCCACCTTACAAAGGTGCTCGTACTTTTCGGGGTAACCACAAATCTCGTCAGAGACCGCGTCGAGGATGACGCGGTCGGGCAGCCGCAGCTTCGCAGCCACATGGAGCAGGAAGCACAAGTCAAACGCCGAAAATCTTCCGAGCTCTCCCAGCCGTGACAGCATCACTGCCTGGAACGTGTTGGGCTCGCAGTGCTCCAGCCGGCACGCATCTATGAAGTACTGCGTCACCGCCCTCGGCTCCAGCGCCGCATGCCTCTGCAGCACTATCCGCTCAACCGAGTTCATCAACGCTATCTGCCGCCACATATCACCCTACTACAATGTTCCCACCTTCTTGTAATCCACCTTGGCCAGCGCGTGGACCACGCGCAGCACGTGGGCCAGGTCGACGCTCTTGAGCTCCGGCTTCAGTCGGTCACAAAGTCGGCTCCAGAGGTTGCGATCCTTGACCCGTGTCTAACAAAGCCTTTAACAGACACACTACGGCCACATACCCTCGCCAACGTGTCCGCCGCGAACGCCAGCTCCCGGAAGGTCAGTTCCTTCAGGCTCGCCGTCAGCGGGTCAGCCTGCCGGCCGCGCCGGGCAACTGCGGCGCCCGCTCCGCCCAGAGCAGCAGTCACATTTGTGCTCATACACCTCGCTCGCCACATGCGTCGGCGAGCTTTTGACGCCCGCAAAATTAGCGTCTGCGGCTCCAGCGCCTCAGCCTCAGCCGCCACCCCGTAACGCGGCGGCTTGCAGCCACTGGCGGCCAATGACGACTCTACGCGGCTAAATCCAATGTTTCCACCATTGCAACGCCGTTTCTACTCTACCGGGCTCGATGTGTTCGTCCGCAACGTCAACCGGTACCGCCTCCTTAGCGCCGAAGACAAGCGGAAGCTGCTCGGCGCGCATCGCCTGAAGGTACATTCCCTTCTATCCACTGTTAGCCTGTCCTAGGGTGTTCCTGAATCTACCGTCAAGTCAGTCGAGAGCGCCATAGGGCTCGGCACGGAGTCAGCCTCCGTGCCGAGCCCAGCCTCTGCAACTACAGCTCAGGCACCAGCCTCCCGCCTCATAGCCGCCGAACTGCAACGCCTGAAGGGGAGAGCGTCCGGTTCTGGCCGACTGCAGGGCCGATCGAGGCCAATAGGCGTTGGAGTCAGCCAGTTCTTCATGGGCATCGACCCCAACACGCCACCGGAGCCGTACGACATAACGTTAGTTATTGTCGCATTCTGCCAGAATTCTGCAGGAGCCCGCTCTTTGGCGAAGAGCGCGAGGCTGACACGCTGGTCGCCGATGTCCAGAAAGCCGCGGCTTACGACGACATCCAGAGCATGCTCGCATCTGTCCGACCGACTCCTCAGGTACCGTACTCATGGGTGACATCTGACGCGGCCTCAGGGCGTCTTGACTGATCGATTCATTGACGTTATGGCCAGAGCTATCGAGCACAATCTTTCCCGTATTGAGTAAGCCGGTGACCCACGTCGTCCACGTTTCACAGACGTCCGGTCCTCTGCAACGAGCTCTCGGACTTCCAGTCCAGCTACGCCATGCAGCGCGCCACTTTGCGCAACCTCCTGGTAAACCGTTGCACTCGCAACGCTTTCGACGAGACCCGCGTCGAGCGGTTCCTCGACAGGCTGAGATTCTCGGATCAGCGCCTGGACGCCCCTCTGCCACCTGAGGTCCTGGAACCCCTGGTGGCGTTCCGCGGTCTCGCTTCGTACTCCTTCGACCCGTGCACTCGTTTATCGCAAAAGCTGCACAACATGCAGCGCCTCGTGCGCGCCATAGTGGACGGTAAGCACCACCACCGACTTTGACCACGCGCTTAGGCGACGAACCATTCCTGCGAGCACTTGGCACCTTTGCGGAGTGCTCCGCAGGCCCTCCCTCGAAGTACCCCTTCAGGAACTACTACGGCTTCGAGAGCGCCGTCCCCTCAGACGTCACCGGGTCCATCCGGATGGGCAAACCCCGCTCCGCCCACGCGGTCCGCTACCACAACCTCCAGGCAGTCGCGCACTCGCTTCCTGCCGACCGCAAGTACCGCGCCATTGTGGCCCACGCAATTCGCGTACTCGAGCGCAGCAAGGGCTGGGACCAGGCCAGCAAGGTCAAGGCTGTGAGCCGGCTGGTTCAGGTCTACAACAACTTAGCTCCGTCCCGGTACTACGCCCGGGTGCTGGACCAGGCCATCCCGCGCATGCGCACCAAGGGGTCTACCGTGCGGACACGCTCGCGCCAGGAAACCTTCAACCGCGGTCTGCAGTACATCCAGTCTCTGACTCGCAACCACTGGATGAAGCGCAAGTGACCCGACCACAACAGCCGCATAATGCTATCATATGATTCGCAGCTACTACCCCGCACCATTGCAATACAGGTCACTTACAAAAGTAGTTTCTTTCCAATAAAGGTGGGCACGATGACATAAAAATGGTGACAGAAGTGGGGTTCGAACCCACGCCCTTTCGGACTGCGACCTGAACACAGCGCCTTGGACCACTCGGCCATCCTGTCTCTGACATCACGGCTAATTTTCAGCTCAACCACCGCCGGTTGCCACCCATCTCACCTTGCCAGCACATGCCGTCAGTTCCTTTAATGTTTAAAACCACGCAGCACATACACCATGCGATGCTTCAGGCGGCGGAAGCCGAGCATGGCTTCCGCCGAATCCGACCAAAGCAGGGATGACGAGACGCCTACACACCCCTCGCGCACCTCGACCATCCAAAGCCAAACCCTGGACCTGGTCTCCCAGCAAACAATGATCCATGCCAGCGGCACGGGAGAAGACGCACTCGCCCCCTGCCCTTCCCAAGGCCCCGCCGCCAACTGGGAGTCCCTCGACTACTCCAACGGCGCCGACTACCTAGGCTGGACCTACGCCGGCAAACGCGAAGGCTCGGGCAAGATCCAGAAGGACGACCTGGTCTACGAGGGCCAGTGGCAGGCCGACCTGCCGCACGGAGACGGCCTCTTCGCCGGCGAAGGCACCATCTACGAGGGCCAGTGGGACCACGGCCTCCCGCACGGCCACGGCGTCGCCATGCTCCCCGACGGCTCCAAGTACGTGGGTGAGTGGTGCGACGGCGCGTGCTCGGGCGAGGGCAAGCTCGTAACCGAGGACGGCCGCGTCTACGCCGGCGCCTTCTCTGATGGCCTCCCCAACGGCGAGGGCGTCCTCGTGACCGCCGAGGGCATGCGGGTCCGCTGCCACTTCATCGACGGCGCCCCGTTCGGCATCGGCGAGATCGAGTGGCCCGACGGCATGCGCTACGTCGGCACCATCATCGACGGCCTCCCGCACGGCCTGGGCCGCCTCACCAACGAGAACAGCGTCTGCTTGGGGCTTTGGAAGGCCGGCGTGCTCGAGACCCGTCTGAAGGCGCACGGGTCCATCCCCGACGCCCTGCGCGACGACCCCGCCGTAAAGTACCTCGCCGCGCATTAGTGGCTGTGATGGGGGAGCGCAGCCGTCAGCGGTGCCACCACCCTGCCGCTTCACCCGCCGGCGCTACCCTGCGAAACGGGAGCGCCCCGCCAAACAACACGAGCGCAACGGCAAACGGGCAAACACAATCCCGTCGACCACACGCTACAGTAAAACGTCAACGTGCCCATTCATCACTGCTCACAGCAGCACGCAGAAACCACAAACGCTACAATTTAATGCATCGGAACTTTGCCGCCGTCCGCCACCAGCGACATGAAGCGGACCACGCACGCCTCGATGTGCCAGATCTCGCGGGACCCCCGCTTCATCGTGTGCGAGAAGTGCGCCGCCACGTGCATGATGTGCGGCACCAACGCCGGGTCCACCCGCCGCGTCAGCTGCTCGACGATGCTCTGCAGTATGATCTCTCCCGGGATGCAGCAGACCAGCAGCTCGTACACCTGCGGCCGCAGCGCGCTGATGCTTGCCGGCGACTGGTTCTGCAGCACGGCCGAGACGATGTTCTTCACGTTGTGCTCCCACGGCATCAGCAGGTCGCTCGACGCCTTCGAGAACCCGCCCATCGCCATCGTCTCCAGCGTCAGCACCGCCCGCCGCAGGTTCCTGTTGCTGGCGGTCGCGATGCTGCGCAGGACGTCGTCCGTCGCCTGCTTCGAAGAAATCCCCTCCTCGTTGCAGATCTCGCGCAACAGCTCCACTATCTGCACACGTACAACCACAGGACACGGCACTTCTCACCTCTCCCACGCTGTGGCTGCCCACCCGAATGCACAGGCAACGGCTCCTCAGCGGGTGGATAATCCGCGACAGCTGCTTCACGTGCAGGAACATGCGCGCGTTTCGAATGTACGTCTCCATCGTCCGACGCAGCGCCGCCTGCGCGTGGAACGAGAGCGCGTCGGCGTTTTCGAACAAGAACACTGCACGCTTCATCAGTTCCACTCTACACGCACCTCGGTAGGACGGCCCCTTCATAAAGTAGTTTGACGCCGACGGCGAGGCCGACAAATTGCGAATCACATCCTGCACGATCACTCGATCCTTGTTGCCCAGCTCCGTGCACGGGACTGCCCAGCATACACACAATCCCGCGGTTAAACTCACTCTGGATGTGATGGTCACTCTGGCAGACGACCACTTCGCTCGAGGTGTCCGGGTTCGAGATGACCTCAGTCTTCACCTGCAACCGCGTGTCCGCGTCCAGCAGCCAAGCGCGTACCTTGTCGATGGCCGACCCGAACACTGCTCGCAGTGTCGCCAGGATCCTCGTCTTCTTCCCTGCTCCTGACGGCCCGTAAAACAGCAGGTGCGGCAGCTCCCCGTGCGATTTCTCCACCAGCTTCTTTAGCAGCTCGTTGACGTCGCGGTGCGACCGGAGCTCGTGGAGCTGCTTCGGGCAGTGCTTGTCGATCCACAACATCCTGTCTACCGTGGCGTTCAGCGCGCAGCTATACTGTGACCACTCTGCGTGCACTCATTCGGCGAACTCGCCCTTCGAATTGCGGTGAAGGTCTTCGAGCTCCCTGGCGCGGTGTGACGCCGTCGTAGCGGGTCCTACCTGATGCGCCTCAGCACCAGCTCGTCGCGTTCGGCGGGCATGCCCTTCAACCGCTGGTACCTGCCGCGTATCATTCACTCCCTCTACACCCCTTCACACACACCTTATGTCGTCGCGAAGTTGCTGTTTGGCACGGCGGAGGTTTTCCTCCGCCGTGCCCTCTGCGTAGCATAACGTCTGTCTCAGCAGCCTGTCAAAGGCGTCCAGGAGTTCCGTCTTCTACATCATATAACAATTGTAGACTGCCTAAACCCACCGTATCTCTCCTCCACCGCCTCAGACACGCCTCCAGGCGCTCCCACGGCAGGTTTGCGAACAGCCGGTCGCCCAGGGTGTGTACAACCTGCACTGGTATGTGCTGCGTGCAGGATCTCCACGCACTTCTTTCAACGGCGCATCCAGATGATCGCTACCGAGTTCGCGCAGCTTCTGCTCGAACAGCGCCAGCCGCGCCTCGAGGAACTCCGCTGCGAACTCCAGGTAGACACGGTCCCTGTCCCTGAGGAACTGGCTCTCTCCCCGCGGGTCTCCGGCTATGAGGGCCTCGTCCAGCGGCTCCAGCTCCCCTTCTGAGAAGGGCATCTTCACCTTTTCGTGCAAAAGGCTCAGGAAGGCAGTGCGGGCCATGTCGGCTGCAAGCTCCTCTCGTGACCGTGCATGTTCCATCGTTCGCTGCCGGGTCCTAGAGCGGCCAGTCTCTTCTGCATCGGCCACGGCACGCTTATTGTCTCCATTGTCACGTGTGATCACCCCCTTAGGCGGTTTTAGCTTTGCTTCGACGGAGTCTGCCAGACTGCCGTCCTCCACGCTGGCCACCGCCGACTCGACCTTGGCTTCAGCCCCCAAGTACTCCTTCGAAATCTCCTGCAGACTCCGACTCGACTCCTTCAGCAGCTCTCGACGCAGCTGAACAAACAGTTGCCGCCGCTGCGCCTGCGGAATACGTTTAAAGCGCTCGTCGTACAGCAACCGCGGCAGCGCCTGTGCCGCTATAGCTCGATGCCGAGACCGCCTACCGAGTCGAAGGTTGCCGAATCCGGCAGCTTCAGCTCCCTCAAGAGCCCCTTGTAATCCGCTACGTCCCTCGCCGAGGCGGAGGCGGGAGCCGCCGGCTCCTCGGCGGGCGGCTCCGCCTCCTCCGGCGGCTCGGGCACGCCCACGTCCGGCCGCTCCCAGCGTGACTGCACCCTATTTTATCTCACGTCTGTTGCCCACCTCCTTGGACGCCCGGTTGTAGTAGTACACCTTCTTCGTCGAGGTCTCCACCCGGTACCTGCGCCTCGTCGAGCGCGTGGCCCAGCCTCCTACCATTTGGTCTCGCCGAGGCGCTCCCACTTCTGCGGAACCCCGATGCCGTCCATCGCGCCGCGCGTCAGTTCTACAGTGGCGCCTATCACCAACTGGCTCCGACGGCGCACCCGGCATGTCACCGACCTTCCACCCGAACGTCAGCCCGGCGGCGGGACGCGCCGCCGGGCCTTTTCGCTCACCTCAACCCACCTATGCCACACTACTACCAGGCTGCTACCACCACTCGCAACTCACGTAACAACACATTAAACCAATCGGCATGTCTCACGCCTCGGAACAAGCCTGAGCCACCGTCTGCAGCAGGGACTGCACGCTGTTCGGAATGGACCTGAACGAGCCCGCGCACAGCTGGTACCGCGGGTTGCGGAAAAGCTCCATCACAGTGAGCTTCACGCCCCACGGACAGCTCATCGGCGCCAAAAAGTGCTCCAGAAGCACGCGCAGCATAATCTGCCGCAGCATCTCGTCGCGCGGCGCGCGCAGCTCGTCGTACATCCATAGCACCAGGCAGCTGAAGAAGTGCGTGTGCATGCTCGGGAAGCGAAGGTGCCGGCAAATGGCCCGCATCCACAGGGTCTTGCCGGGCAGGGACAAGCCCCGAATCAAATCCAGATACAAAAATAGACGACTCTCCTCGATGGGCGTCGGCTCGGGCAGACTGTTGGGGAACTCGATTCCGACGTAGAAGGCCAGAGACGTCATCAGCGTGAGGGCTTGGCCGGGGTCCCGCAACAGCACCTCCTCTATGACGGCCAGAAACTGCTCAAAGTCGACACCGCGGCCGTTGATCCCCGCTGAGCCCGGCATCTGGTTTCGATGCATCATGATCCGCAGCAGCGTGTCAACGTACGACTTGAGCGAGTGGCGCATCAGCAGCGTCACGATCATCGGCGAAACCCGGGGAACCACCGCCATGGCCGGGATGTGGTCCACCATGAGCCCGGCCATGCCGAGCGGCACGTGCTCCACGCCGACGCTGCAGCTCCCGACCAGCGCGTCGATCCGCGGTGACCCGCCGATGCAGAAGTAGTACTCCACGACGAACTCCGGGTAGCGCCCGCAGATGTAGCGCACCAAGTCGTAGTAGACGCCCTCAATCAGCTCGAACTTGTCGCCTGCGGCGCTGGCCTGCATGAAGCACGTCACCCCGATGAAGAGCTTCGCCAGGTGGTGCCAGCAGCGCGGGATCGC